AACATCCATCAGCTCACTCAAAACTAGCAAGCCCCCAAAACAGCAGCAGGAACTACAGCACAGGCCGCGTTACCTACGAGCAGTTCTGACAAGACAATACTGAACTCCCTCCAATTATGGCTAAATTACTGCTTACTATTCAAGATAATTGAGGATTTTTCCCAAAAGCTTTCTTCCCCATGTTTGTCTGGGGTTTTTGACTGCAACGAAGCTTCAGAGTACCAGAAATGATTCCAGAAGTCTTTGTCCTGCAGGAACTTTAGCATACAGCAAATACTTCTTCTATGTACTCTATTCAGGTTTTTCACCAATTTGAAAAAGTCAAATCCTTCAAGCCTCCTCTTCTTCCCACCCCTAAAAAGATTTTCTTCTTAAAAAAAATAATAATAAAAAAAATATTATTCTTTTAAAGAAGAAACTGATGGGGAAAATCAGCTTCAAGATTTGACTTAAAATTGCTCCTCCCTCAAGTTGTAACTATGGGCCACTGTGGGCTTAAAAATATCTGCACACCATTTCAATACAATCCTGGGATGTGTCACTATTAAAAAGCTAACTTGTAGTAACTGCTCTCCTGGAATATCATTTCCTTCACAGGGTCTTTTTCAGCTTCCTGTGAGCCAAATTTGCGACTCCAGGCTGGAAACACTGAGCTTCACGTTTCAAGATGAGAAAACACCGTAATGATAAGAAATGAAAAAGTTAGCCATTTCAGATCTGCTCATACCAGTGTGAGACACTCACATCTAAAAACATATGACTTCATCTTTTACAGGTCAGGTAAGCTGGCAAAAGCCATGACAAAAGGGAAATGTTTTTTTCCTGCTTCAGGCTCTCTATCGAACAGCAGTGGCACCCTTGTTTTTAGGAACAAAAATGAATCAAAGCAATAGGTCACTGAGCTTTATTCTTTTACTGACTAAATTTATCATGTTAGAATTTGTTCCTGTGAGAGTCACTCTCCTTAGCCTATTTTTAAATTTTGCTTCTCTTTTAGATCCACCTCCTCAATGCAGAGGTTGCTCCACATGACGCTCTCACTAGCTCAGTAACATCCTCTACGTGATGAGAACTTCTGGATGTTATATACATACATGGCTGATTCAAACACAATATAAAACTGTGCAAAAACTAGATCAGTCTACCACACAGTGAGATGGACAGATGACAGTCTTCAACAACTCTTACAAAAGTTCTTTTAGTTTTCCTCTCCCCATCCTCAAGAGGAATCCAACTACAGATGGACTTTGTTGCTCTCATGGGCTTCAATGTTGATACGCAATTTTCAATCAGAAAACACAGAACAGACTCCTTAATCATGAGAGCTCTAGATTTTTGTTGTTGGCTCCATGTGTTTCTTGTAGATATTTTAATGCTTTTTAGGATCTCTTCTACTACTGGGTATGCTCAGCCATTATTTTTAGACCCCTGCAAAATTCCTCTACATAATTTCCTACATGTAACACTCACACTTTTTGATTCAAACACTTGTTTTCTTAAATAGAAGAGTTACTTAATAAAGCATATGCAAATTGGGGAAGTACTAAATAATTTGCATTTTACTTTCCTGCTTTGTGATTTCATTAGTCTGTTTTTTAAAAAAACAGCTTTTCAGACACACAAACTCACTCCTGTGGCCTCACTTTCTTACAGTGAAATACAATATTTAACGAATACTTTCATAGCAGAAATAGTGAAAAACCTCAAGACAGAAAATTAGAACAAGTCAGGGTCCATCATGGATGGTGCCATGTTAGCTGGTCACAGTGTAGAAGTGACCCATGGAAATACATAAGGAGAAAGGGAACCAGAAGCTAAATTCTCTGCTAAGGAAAGCCAGGCAACAGCAAATCAAGCTCATCAGCCTCTTCTACAGCCTAGAAAGGGGTATACCAAGAAAAGAGGATTCACAGCAGCACCAAAGAGACAGTGAACACCAACCATCAAACATTTTTTGTGACTGTTTTTGGCAAATAAGCTTGCAAAACCACTGAAGGAAAGCCAACAAAATCCTACAACCTCCAACCACAACCAATGCCTGTTTACCTGCTGCAACAGAGCAGCAATCCCAGAATGTCATAAGTTAACATTACAAAGAGGAAAATAGTGCTTAGAGAGTTAATGCAATCTGACAGTTCCTTAAGGTACCATTCAATTACTGCATCAAAAAGCAATCACCAACTTCTAAGTAAGCAAACCATCAACGGACAGCTGCTTACTTACATTTGAAAAAAGTCCTTTCATAGGAGACTGCTTGACTTGCATACCTGATAACTAAAAATTTAGTTATACTGCATTATTAAGAAATACTGAATATTACAAATGGTTTACAAGCCAGTCCTTTAACAACAGTGCCTTCCTGTGTTTATTATAGGCATTTTCTTATTTTAAAGCTAAGATTCAACTGGTTTATAGTTGTAATTCTGTCCTCCTACACATCCACAAGCAAATTAGGTCAATCCCAAACTATTTGTAAAACCTCCTACATAGAAAGGAGTTTGAGATTTTAAAACATATGAAGTTTAAAACAAACAGTCAACCTACCAGTGTCTTAAACCTTGTGAACTGCCGATTTTTTTGTTCTAGCTTAAGAAGGTATCCTAAAGTAGTATAAACCAAGATGTGAGAATCACTGTCCTTGGCCATAAGTTGCAACCGTATCACATTTAATAACATTTTAATAATGTGTATTATATAAGTTCCCCCGGTTAACTTCTAAACTTCTACATTTGGCATCTGTAGCATCCTGTGGCAATGAGCTCCACTGTGCAATTATGTGCTGTGTGAAAAAATGTTTATTTTAAACCTACTGCTGCGTAAGAGCTAGAAGTCTTTAAAACTGTGTTATAAGAAATGATGAATAGTCATGCTCTGCCCATCTTCTCCATAACATTAGTAGCTTTATAATCCTCTTGTGTTTCTTCTAAGCCCATCTGTTTTCCAAGCTGCAGAGTCCTAACCATCCTGTTCACATATAGGTATCTCTTTCCCCGTATAACTTGGTTTATCCTGGTGTTTGCAGATCAGTTTCCAGATTACTCATGGATATCATCATAGAATTATAATGCAACTTCAAGATCTCTTTATTGAGTAGTAACAATTTAGACTGCCATGCGTGTTAGTTAGCCAGTTCCCTCCTGCAAGCATTATTGTATAACACTGTATGGCTAAGGCACTTGCCATTTTATTAACTTGTTATCTTGCATTATCTTCCTATAACTCTTCATGCTCACAGATTTGGAGGGAATCGTGAATGGTGCATGAATAGAAACTGTTATCTTGCTGTTTAGCCCTTTCACAGACTTATTAAAGCAGCAAAGATCTCCACATAGATCCCTGTAGGAGTCTACTCTCACCTTATGATAACTGTCCTCTATTCTTACCTTTTCTTTTTTTATTTCCTTATCTTAAAAAGTTATTAATCTGAGAGGGCTTCTCTCTTACCTTTGAGACCATCTTGTTTCTTCAAGAAGTTTTGGCAGCAGCTGTCTTCAACTAGGATGGTTAGTTCATATGGGAGATATACTTCTAACGTGACCACAAACTTGCACCCAGCTAGTTACAATCTGTTTGCAACAGTCGTATTTGCTCTTCATATTTCATATTTTCCATGTACACGTTCATTTTTCTTATTTATAAGCATGCATGTTGTCATTTGACTCTATGACAGTTTTAATTAATTTTGATAAGGACAGAAATAAAACTTTCTGGGGTGTAGTTTCAATGCAGATGATGTATTTGAGTTACTCCAGACCTGTTGGGTGTACCTGATGAGTCTACGCAATTTGTTACTAATCATTTTGATCAGCTTGTTCTAAAAGTTCTTCCACTAACACTTGAATTTGAAACAGATCATGAGACATCTTAAGTATGGGCAGGAAGCCTCGTACACCCTATATAATTAACAAAAATGCAAAAAGAGTCTTTGCAAGATTTGGTGCTGAAGATTCATTTTCTGCTAGTGTTATCATGCCTTGATCCTTATTGGGCCTGGAGTTTATTAGGTCTGTTGCTTCTGATGTGCTTGAATAGTTTCTCAAAGCTCTTTATGTGCCTGTCTTCTGGTTTTCACACGACTTAGCAGTTTTGCATCCAAATGTTTGCCACATTTGGTCACAATTTCTACTTTATGAAGTCTCTCTTCACCTGTTACAGACTTTCCTCCTTTGCAGTTTCAATAATTCTGAGTTTGGGGTTTTTTTTCATTCCTTGTGATAGATGGCAGATATTTACTCTATCACTTAATATGGTAGCTCTCAATACCACTAAAGGCTTTATTCTTTCAGGTGTTCCTTTAAACAATTTCCTAACAAGCTTGCTCCCTTAGGTGTAGTTCTCTCTATAAGATGTTACTGCAATATATTTTACACTTGCTCTTAAAACAGTATGGATATCTTCTTCATTATAGTTACTCTTGTAGGAGAGCTCAACAGTAATTTCACCTCAAGACAGCTCTTGTACACTACATATTTGTCAAGAGCTACTCCTCTTGTGAGCTGACAGCTTATCACAAAACCCAATATATTGTTCTTCACTTCTACCTTTACTGAGTCCTCATACACGTAACAACCATGTAATAACAGGAAATGTTTCTTCCCTCAGCATCTTACCTCTTTTAGCACTTCACAATAATGTTCTAGCATGGTCAAGAGTCTAACCCTCACCCTATTTTGATCTATTTGCACATAAATTCAAACCGTAAGTGTACTTTCTTGTCTTGACATACATAGCTTTGACTGTAAACCCTAACATAACGTAAGGTATCTCTAAGAGTACAATTTGCATTCTCATCTCTATGTAAATGTTTGCCCTCACACTAACACCTTCTTGTACCGATTTTCTGAGACACCAAATACATCAATGTCTAGATTTCAAACCAGCATTCCAGCTCTCACACTCATTTTTCACATTTCAGGTTTTCTCCAGAAGCCCATCTACAACTGCTACTGGTCTGTCTTTTTCTAATACTTTATAAAGAGAAGCAAGCAGTAAATACATACATGATGGTGTTAATCCCTGACAGTTGTTGAAACATCTGCAGACCACAACCCACAATTAAGGCTCTTCGAGTTGGAGGGTATGTTAGCATTCTGCAGATCACAGGTCCAGCTTAAAAACAAAACAAAAAACACACAACAAAAAAAAATATGTGATAGTTCTTAAGTGACCGCTCTCAAGACAACGTTCCCAGGTAAAACAGGCTTTGCACCTTAGTTTCAAACACACTTGGATTATTACAATTATTACTGAACAACTTAATCATTTCACTTCTGCTTTTCTGCACGGTACTACAAAGATGATTTTCAGGAAGCCCAGGCAAAAAAAATGGAGCTGTTTTGTACACAGTGTATAACTCTCCTATATCATACTAACAGATTGCACATCTGCTGCAGTTGAAGGTACTCAAAGTTATCACAGAATATCGTTGTTTCCTTTCTTAAAAACTCTCAGAGTTATCGAAAGGTTATTTCAGAAATGCTGTGACCCACTGCTCAGATCTGGATCTTGCAGATACAGTGTTCTCCCTAGTCTCCCAAAGACCCACTTTCCACTAAACAACTGCAAGTGGGGGTACTTTGAAGGTATGGGGTAGATCTTCTCTGCACAGCTGTAAAGCCAGCAGAGAGAGCACAAATGATTTGATTTTTTTCCATACTTTTGGTAGCAATGGTACGAGGCTGTCTTCAGAAAAGCAGAAAACGGTTTTTCAATGAAGAGAAAAGCAAAAATTTCTAGCATAGAAAGTTTTGTTCCCTGTTAATTTTGGGCTTTGTTTGTTTTTTTTAAAGTAATATATCAGGCAAAACTTTAAAATACTTGACTTCATTATTTACTTAAATTTCTTTCTGTCCAAAGTGGTATTTGGGGCAAACACAGTCTGGTGAAAAATTCTATGTTTTATACATCTTGACACACCTACTATACCCACTCAGAACACCAAACACAGATCACAATAGCTACAGGTCAAAATAGTTGAAAAAAAGGAAATGAAGAGGAGATTTTTATATTTTCAAAGTCTTTCCTGAACATACAGAAAATACTAAAAGTATTGATTCAGTATAAAACCTTGTATGGGTCTGTTAGCAAAGAACAATTTACATGCAAAGAGTTTCAACATCAGAAAGCTGATAATCTGTGAACAGACTCAAGAAGGGGGGTTTGATAATACTTTCTTCACTGAAAAACAATTAGACCTACCTAAGTAAAACTTAGTTACATAAAAACCGTTCTGAATTCATATCCCAACTGTATCATCACTGAGCTTTGCATCTTTATTAATAACAGCAAAATGCAGTCTGACAAATTTTCCAGCTGTACATTCAGACAGTACATCCCACCTGTCTTGCCATACAGCCACATCACTACCTTCCAAATGTCTTTGAGAAAATCAGTGACAGATAAATAGAGCCAATCTATATATCTGGCAATATATTCTCAAGCAAGACACATGGCATTGCTGGGTAGACAAGTATATCAAAGGGTTTAGCAGTCAAATTGGCAAAGTGGAAAAACAACAAACTGGCACTCACTGCTGGTTTGGAGCAGTTCCAACCTCAGACACACTCCTGGATTTCTAACAAATGCAACTATGAGCCTTTATTCACAAACAACAGCCCTCTGGTTTCCACACTTGGCATCACACCTGAGCATGGAGGAGTTGGGCTTAAAACTCTTTCACTGGCAATTGATTCTGCAGCATCTGTCATGAACCCAGGCTGCTGAATGCCTATGGGAGAGAGACTGTCTGTTCTTCATGAACTTCATATATTTATAAACACTTAATGGAGTTCAAAATGCATCTTAATCTCCAAAAGACCTTACAGCCAACCTAAATCTTCAAGTCCACCATCAATGACTATGCTCACTGAATAAGCTGGAATGCTACAGCAGAAGCTGCTAGGAAAGGAAGCAGAAATGTCCTAAGGAACTGATACAATTTCTAACAATTCCTGAGCAACTCAGCTATTTGATGAAAGTTATATAAAACTCTACTCACAATACAGCATTGTACAAAACAATTGGAAAGAAGGCATTAAAATGAATAGCTAGAAATTAAAGCAGCTGTTCCCAGACAATGCTTGCATCTCAGAGGGAGTCATGAACTCTCAACAAAACTTCATCACAAAATCAGTTTGTATGCCTGAAGTGGGGTCCTGCAGAAATTCTTAGACCATGTAGTAAAGTTTAGACCTTTACTTTAGATCTTTAGAGCATCCAGTCAGCTAAATGCACTACGTACTTAGAATTTTTCAGACTTCTGATTAATTGCATCAGAAACAATTATGCTAAAAATCATCATAATGGCTCAAGTCAGAGATTTAAAAGTTACTCTAAATCTGTACCATGGCAACTGCACATATCAATAGGCATACACAAAATTAAAGGATATTATTTCATAAGATTCACAGCCCTCAGGTTTACAAACCAATAAACTGAACGAAAAAAAAACCCAGAAGAAATCATTAATCTCTGTATTAAAGGAGCTTTACAAACTCCACTAAAAAACCCGAAGGACTTTGACTGTTAGGTGGCTGTTTTTAAAGCAGAAAATGACTGTGAAACTTTTTATTAAAATTAGCTAGCCCTCAACCCAAATAAACTATTTTTTTCAGTTTTCCTATTATCAATCCTGCCTTCCATCTTCTGTTGTGTTAATATATTACTGCCTTCTTACAGGTTGTAATATATGAATACAGCAAACGAATAAACAACTCCAAGCAAAACATGTTTGTTATCAACAGAGAATGTGTCAAAACTAAATTATATACATATGTATGAATTACATACATTTTTCTTCTGAAAATAAGTCTTCCAAAAACTGAAATTGTACTTCAGGCATTCCTGATAACTGTTAAGTCTGCTGTTGGTTATTACAATAGATTAAAAAGGCACAAACCAATAAATCTTTTAAAAACTGAAATCTTTAAAAAATGGAGCAATTTAATTGCTCACAGAACCAGAGGGAAACAGATGAGGCAAAAGATGCATCACAAAAAAAAAAAACATTTGACAATTTTTATGACGGAAAAGAAAAGAGATATTTGTCTCCAGAAGCTGGTAGTTGTTTGCTTATGATAATTCAGCCTTAATTGCTATTGTTTTCTCTTCAGACAGGAGATTTAGAAACATTCCTGCATTTGAACTACTCCATTTGAACTTGAAAAGCCACCAAGATGTTTGTTTTCCTTCTTCTAACCTATGAATTAAAATGAAGTCAAAAGGATGAGACCCATAATCATAATGTCATGATTAATTTAAGGAGACAAGATTTGGTTGGACTTTCTGTGCTGTGGTTTCAGATAATTACTTTATCTTAAGTAAATTTCCTTAATGCATATGTTTACAAGGGTTCAAAACATGCGACAGTAAAGGGCAGCTGAAGCTTGCTCTAGGAGTACAAAATGGCAGCAATAGATAAAGAATAATGGAAAAATAAGGATACTGCTGCTGTAGAAGGTGACATTACATGAAGTGGTGATACATGAAGTGGACTGCTGTGGTATAACTGGCCTTTTCTCATCCTGATCTAAACTGCCTACCTAACTAGACATTCATCCTTCTAATTAAAGGGCAAAAATAGGATTTGGAAGTCTGGCTTCACATCCAAAAAAGCCTTAGCAGCTTATACTGAGCTAAAGAGGGGCAGAGGAGCTGTTCTTGTCAAATCATTGCTTCTGGAAAGAGAGTGATGCTTTTCAAATGTTTTAAGAGTGTTATACGAAACTTGTGACGCCAGCTTCCTCTACTTTAGCTGTTATTCTTGTTACAATCCATAAGAAAATTAGGTTTAGAAACTGTGAATCACCTGTAAGGCACTTTAATTTTCCTCTGTAGGTAAAACAGATTGTAAGGCAATCACAGGAGGCTGGGTGTGATCCACTGCCAATTACAAGACAGATGCTTTACAAAAACAACAAAACAAACCCTAGTTCTGAAAGGAATTTAAATAATGAAAGCTAAAAAAGCAGAAGAATGGGTATTGATGATGTCTCCACGTCTCCTTATGAAAATCTACTGTATATACTTCCAGGGAAATAAAAATATCATAGGTAGACATAAAACCAGCCTAAAAATCTGTCAGCAAATGCAGGCAGACAGCTGGTGCCTGGAAACCTCATGATCCCCCTTTCCTCAAATTATTAGTACAATACCTGGCAGTATTTCACAGCCAGCAAACTATGGTTAGAGACCAGGCTCTGCCAAAGTCATTTGCAGGTTCAAACTTTCTTTTGCCAGCTAATCTAGGTAACAGCTTGTAGCAACAGCTTAAAACTATACAGGACTCCTGCCAGCATTTTGTGCTCTTGCTGTAGAGGATTGTTTCCAAAAAGGCAGGCTCAGCCAAGCAACAAGGCAGTCACTAATCAGTTTAGCATCAATTAATAAGCTCGACCTTCAGATTACTTTCTCGGACCTGTTCTTGTCCTAATGCCAGTCAACACTCTCTCTTCCATCCAGTTAAATCTTCAAAGAACCAGTCTACAGTTAGAAATTGGACCAAAAAAAGGAACTTCGAGCTGGTGATCTGGATAACAGAAAACAGATACTGGAATCTTTCCTGTTTTGCCTTTCCTTACAAAAAGACAGCTTCCAGTCCAGCTTTCTCTGCATCATCTGCAGAACATTCCTCCACCTAAAAGTCCTCCTCTAAAGCAGTCACAGCTAGCTTATTTTCTGCATCTGAATGACACACTAAAGCAAATACCCCTTCTGTCCTGGACTATGACATGAATATTTTCTAAAAATATCAACTGCATTCAATTTTTCCTTTCTGTAAAATTTACCAAATCACAAGATCAAAACTGCAATATTTATCCAAGAAGATATAGAACAATTTTACTGAAGTACCAGGCTCTTCCCCACTGTCTCACAATGTTTCCAGTAACACTGGAAGAACCCACTCCTAGTAAGGGAGGAAACTTCCTAACTCATATAGTTCTCTAATCCTCTGAGAAAGCTCAAAAAGAGGTTGCTTGCTTGAGTCCATTTCTGTTTGTTTGTCTGGAGGGTTTTTCTGGTGTTGTGGGTTTTACTTATGCATCGCCCCCGATCAGCCAAGAATGAGAAAAGACTGTCAGCTTGCTTAATAACTCAGTGGTTTTAAGTTT